CGTGGATGGCCGAGTATCAAATTCTTTCTTCTGGTTACAACTTTTATTCCACTCGGTACAACTTTAACTATGGAACAGGAACAAGCTAACTTCTAAATTAATGTCAACTTCACTAACAATATCAATAACACACGGAAAACACGGATTTCCGACTCGCGGGTTTAACTTCTTCTGCACTCAGGCGCGACTGTCACTTCACTCTCCCCCGTCTGGTTCTCCTCGTCGCTTATATCCTTTTCTCCAGGTATTCCAGATAGTTCTAGAGATCTCTAGAACAGGTGCGAAACTTCCCGCTTGTCAGTGTCATATTTGACAGTAAATGGGGCCCAAATGGGGCTCCCATTTACTGAAACACCATGAATTTCGATCCCCCATTCCAAACGTGAGTACTCCAGGCCATTTCCGTTACATTATTGTTTGTGAAGTTGACGGTAATTTTGAAGTTAGTTTGTTCCTGTTCCGTAGTTAAAGTGATACCGAGTGGAATAAAAGTTGGAAGCAGAAGAAAGAGTTGGATACTCGGCCATCCACGGTACAATATAGATACCATATCTGGCAAATTCTATCAGAGCGGAGTGCAAAGCTCTGTGTGTTTGTGGCGATACCTCACACGAGTTAGAAGAAACGATCGCCCTACCCATGGTCCCCTGAATAAGCGACTTCCCATATTTTATGAGGATTTTGTCCCTTAGCAAAACGTGACGACAAACCAACACTTCTTGCAAAAGCAGGACTACGTTTCTAGCAGGCTGGAAACGCAAACACTACACACCACGTGACCAACACTACGTGACTCGTCGGATTAGTGCTCCCTTGCCCTAATTGGTGCTGGCTGGTCTTTGTACCAACGACGGAAGGGGGGCGTGACTTAAGCCATTTACTGATTGAGTCTGTCGGCAGTTTACGCCACGGCTGACATCAAGATTAAAGGTCGAAGCAAAAGGGGTTGTTGGCTTTTCTTGAAGAAGAGCTTTTTCCTTATTGAATGCCCCTAGAATGAAACAAAAACCACCACTTCAACATTATCTCCGGACGTTGTCATACGTAGATAAATGTTGATATAAACAATTTGCCAAGTGTAGTGGTATTCATTGTGTTGTAGCTAAGAAAATAGTTGTTTATCGTGCAATAGGGTTTTCGCCTGAAATTTATTTTTGAAGAAAAACATACTAGAATACAAATTTTGTTGCATATAAATACACCACAACGAAATTACGTTGCTATTAAATGGGCTTACAAATCGCCATGTGATTGGTCTGACGTCAGAGTACACGTCGGTCTGCACGCGGTCGGTTATTCGGAAGTCTCGGGAATGTCCATTTTAGGGCACTGCCCAAGTAATAGACGACATCTGGCAATATGTTGTTACTTTGTGTGTGGCTATACCAATAAATGTTTAATAATTTTTTATCTATCTCTATATAAAACGAACATATTTTTAGCCAGATTTTACTAACAACTTACTTTGATAAGCTTTAAACTATGTTGAATAGGAACAAACATGCAGCTGGTTTGTCCGTCATACAAATAAAGAGTAAACTACATCCGCTATTCGATCACTTTGTCAAGTTCAAGCAGTGTTTTTTATTTTTTTTTAGATTTGGCGCTCCAGCATATATGTCGTACCCTCACTTTTATTTAGCTGATCCTGGATACATTCACGATGTAGATGGTATGTCGCCCAATGCAGAATTGCACGCCACCAAAATGGCACTAGAACCCAGCACCGGAATGCCACTTCACGTTAAGGCAGCTTTCCAATTAAATTTATTAATGAGTCAAATGGAAGGGATTGAGTAAGTTATATACATTGTCTAATCCCAACTGTATTTTAAACAATTTGTGTAATAGCAAACCGTCAAAGAGGACGTTCCATTTGCTACTGAACGACTCTACGTAGAGTCTCAAATATCAGTTTTTTTATATATAAAAGCACACTAATACATTAAGCATTAGTATTTAAAACTTGAAAGGAGTTAAATGCTTAAAAAAATGTTGTATTTTAGCGTACTTGCAAAAATGAAAACCACAATGATGCCGTGCTTTTGGTTTGCACAAAAAGCTGAATTAACTGAGGACCTTTCCGTTCTTGCGAAAACCATATTGATAGGAAAACCAGCTGGCGTGTACACTGGTTATGGAATATTGGGATTGGGAATACTTCTCTTTGTGATTTTCGGTTTTATAACATACAAAACAGGGTGGAAAAGTAATAATACTGAATATCTAATCAGTCCTCAACCTTCCTAATTATTTTATTTTCGTTTTTCAAGCAGCCAGTTATAGGAAAGTAGATATAGTTGACGCAAGTCAACATGACGGTTGAATATGTCTATAAACCGGCAGTTTTCGAATATTTTTTTACCAGTCTATTTTCAGCAATAATAGGTAAGAGTTTTGACTTCGGCTTGGTGGTAGCTGGTACACAAAACAAAGTTTTTTCTTCAGCATGTAAAGTGTTGATACACCTACTGCTTTTAAAATTGCCGTCTACACATCTTGTGCTAGTGCATCTAATGCACTAAATTGGTTGCTCTGCTTCAAATGTGTTTTATCCTTTTTTTCCTGTTTAAGTAACTGTAGACAGATCTCCTACTCTCTGTGATTCGAAAAAATCAGTCGTATTTTTTAAATTGTTATATATCGATGGAGTAATAATGATAATTTCATGGAGTCATGAAGGATAATATTCCCTGCATTGTTCATTTATTTTAGTATGATACTTGTTAGGTCTAGTACACTTTTAAGTGTAAATATTAATTTTTGTTTTTAAAAATTTCTATTAAAAATATTGTTATTTGTTTCCAGCATTGTTAGGGAACTAAATTAATTTTTTCAGAAATACTTAATCAATGTTATTCGAACCGCCAACAATGTATTAGTGGTTTCGTCGTTAGCATAATAGTATTTTCGACACAATAATTCATAAGTGTATTAATTTCAATGGAATGGAATATATTTTGTTGGAAAAATATTTTTTTGCAAAAATATACGAGCGATTAAACGTATTTTGTTTGGAAACTGTTGCTGTGATAGTAGCGTTTTGAGCAATCATTGTGTTCTCAGAGTTTGTTATGTCGTTTTATCGGTCTGATATATTCAAAATATGTATATATTGAAATAAATGTTGATATAAGTAATTTGCCAAGTGTAGTGATATTCATTGTGTTCGTAGCTAGGAAAATAGTTGTCTATCGTGCAACAGGGTTTTTGCAAGAAATTTATTTTTGATTAAAAACATACTAGAATACAAGTTTTGTTGCATATAAATACACTACAAAGAAATGCAAAAAAAATATTTTGCTATTAAATGGACTTACAAATCTGTTCCAATTGGTGTCATGCGAAATCGTCATGTGATTGGTCTGACCTCACTGTACACGACCGCTCCGACGAGGTCGGTTAGTTCATTTAAACCTACGAACTTTTGTACATTTACCTTGTGCTGTGTTTTATTAGTTTATTTTTATTGTTTTGTGAATTATTGTGGAAAATGGCTGATGAAGGATTTTCGAAAGCACAATCAGATAACTTACCACTGGTATATTCGTTGATGGTGGCTCAGGTTTTTAAAACAAGCGAATTATGTACATCCGTTGAACAACGTGGAGTAAAAGCCAAAAGGTACACGATATTTCTGTCTAGATGAGTGGGTCTCTGAATGAAAATAAAAGGTATTTTCTTTTTACAATTTGTTTGGTAAATACTTGAAATACTATGGGCAATTTATATTAGTGGGAAGACTTATTTTCATCATCTAGATCTGAGAAGGAAAGTTATGGAGGTGCTGCTGTTGGATATGTGCAGCTGAAGCGAGACGGTGATATTTGCATAGAAAAATGCAAAATATACCCAGAGCATAAAATTCGTTCGAAGAATTATTCGATTCGATAAAGGGAAAAGTGAAATCAGAGTGTCATGACTGTGGGGCAACACAAGGTAAAAAGTGAAAAGATGTTCTCGATTAGAGTGGTGATAAACGTTTTTTTTTTCTAGAACAGGTTACAACATTGCAGTTTCACTTTGGTATTCGGTTCCCAAAGTAACATGTTACTTTTTAAATTTTTCATTAAAAATTCGCAATCATGATGAGGTAGAAATAGTGATGATAAATAATGATTTAGTTTATTAAAAATAATAATTCTTAGTAAGCATATAAATATAATATAATAAATAAATCATTGGTGAACTAAAAATAATATATTCTGAAAACAAAAACAAAACATGGGTCATAAGTAAGTAACTGCTTAAAGGAAAACAACTGATAATAAAATCGATTAGTTTAAATAAAATGCATTTGCTTTTGGTGCTTTGAATGGGAACATTTTTAAAAAGCCAATTTTTGCCCATCACTACTAGCTGACTCTTTCTTTGAAGAAAACAACAAAATTCATTCCGTTTATGATGTCAATTATTGAAAATTTGGTTTCATTTTAGAAACAGAATATATTTTCAATCATAAAAAACACAGTATAGTAATCAAACACATTGTGATTTTTAATTTATTACCTACATATTATGTATCTTGGGAATGTCAATAAATAACAATATCATCGAACACAATATGAGAAAATAGTGCATTGTGTTGATTTAAAATTCTTAAACAAACCTTTAAATATATTTTTACCTCTATTTCCACTAATTAATGAACCCTGAGTGTTAACTACAGCAGAAGCAATAGTTATAATAAAATATAAATAAGGAATTAAATATAAGCCATATAATAGCTTATAATATAAGCCACAGTTTTTGATGTCTCGTCCAAAGGCACGTTTACAAATGTCTTTTCCTGATGTAGACACCGTAGTACTGCTACACTCAGGCATCACACTGTAACGGAAATGGCCTGGGGTACTCACGTTTGGAATGGGGGGATCGAAATTGATGGTATTTCAGTAAATGGGGGCCCAATTTTCGCCCCATTTACTGTCAAATATGACACTGACAAGCGGGAAATTTCGCACCTAGGCTGGAGATTTCGAGAACCGTCTGGGTTACCTGGAGGAAACTATATAAGCGACGACGAGAACCAGGGGAAGTGAAGTGACAGCAGCGACCGGGTGCAGAAGAGGTCAAACCTCGCGAGTCGGAAGACCGAGTTTTCCGTTTGTTATTGTTATTGTTTGTGAAGTTGACGTTAATTTAGAAGCTAGTTTGTTCCTGTTCCGTATTTAAAGTGATACCGAGTTAGTAAAAGTTGGAAGCTGAAGAATGAGTTTGATACTCGGCCATCCACGGTACATTTGGTGTCAGAAGTGGGATTTACCAGAATCCAAGTTGAATTTTGATGGAAACAAGAAGTAAATCAAAGAAGGGAGACCCTGCAATGGAGAACCCCAGTTTGATTGCACTGCTCATACAGATGAAAGACGAAATGAGCGACAAAATGGAAGACAAAAGTAGGAAAATGATGGACGAAATGAGCGACAACAGTAGGAAAATGGACGAAAAAACTGACAAAATGGAAGACAACAATAGGAAAATGGACAAAATCAATGACAAAATGGACGACATTAAGAAAGTGATGAAAGAAATGAGATTTAAAATGGACGACAACGCTAAGAAATTTGAAGACCTGAAAACAACCGTTGAAGGCAAACTAAAGAACATCGAGGAAGTGACTG